CTTTCTTATCCTACTCCTAACGACCATTCCTATGCCCGTTCTAACATTGTCCTTGCCTAAAGAGAGAGAGAGAGAGAAAGTATAAGCGTTCGATTTAGCAGGAATACAGGTTTTTATTCTTCAGTTAGATGCTCGGCGAAAAAATTACGGTATCTTTTTGGTTAGTAATCTACCGCGGTAGTAACATGTCGTTTTTGAAAACGCGCTCGTTTATAACGCCGACGAAGGATTACGCGTTTGTAATAGAAATAGCAAACGATAGGTAAAAGTAAAAAACAACCTTGCAGCCTCTTCGTCGGCTTGAGAAATAATTCTTTTCGTGCTTCGTTGACTTCTTACTTCGTACGAGAGAAAGAACAAAAAACGAAGAAGAAATAGAGATAGAAGAAAAAGTCAAGAATAAATATATATATATATATATATGTATATATGGGGGCCTAGTTTTGCACCGTGTACACGAGCTAACTCCTAATCGAGAATTGAGATGAACAATAAAATCTTGTTCAATTGTATCGGAATCATCGTGATCGATTCTAGGAATTACATCGAGTTTGGATTTGTTTTTTTCATTTTCTTCTTTTTACTTACAAATCGTTTAATTCGTAAAGCCTTCTAATGATAATCCATCGTTGGTTAAAAAGGAAGTAAAATATTTTCGGACATTTCTCGTAAAATATCGATATTTCGATAACCACACCCTTTTCGTACGGGCTGTTCCCTATTTTATTCATACTACCGTGTTCGATGTACAAAGTAAACGCTCTTCGCTCATGTGAGCTCGCGGAAGAATGAACAGATGTATACAATGGCAGCGCTATATTCAGAAGGAAATACGTTATCTATAAATACAGAAACTATGTGCAGCTATATTCGGAGATACATACGTGGTTACTCGTTTTATGTAATGTATAAAGACTCGACCTTCGTTCGCTAGAAAGGATTACTTCTTTATCTCTTTTTCTCTTTCTCTCTCTATTTTCTTTTTTGGTTTGTTCTCCAACGCATATGCGCACCCATATGCGTATTTGACCTCGATTGATTTCTCGCGAAAGCAACTTCAAAAGATCTATGTAATTTATTATACTATAAACGCATACCGTTCTTATTATATATTTTACTACTAGCAATAGGTAAAAGCGTTTGTTTGCTCGAAACGAAAATAAAGTAACCGGTTTTGTTCTCCGTATTAACTACCTAAAAGAAAGAAAAGAACAAAAAGAAAAAAAAAATAAGAGAAAAGAAAGAAGGAATAAAAAAAGAAAAAAAAAATAAGAGAAAAGAAAGAAGGAATAAAAAAAGAAAAAAAAATAAGAGAAAAGAAAGAGTTAAATCTTTAAAAGTCATACGTGAAACGCATTGAAAAAACTTTCATTTATTTATAAGGATTATCCACATAAGATCCGAGCGATCGATCTTGCACGTGGTGAAACTCACGCACGAGACCTAGCAACGAGAATTCCTTCGTGTATTCCTTCATGTTGCATCGTTCCCAATCTCTCGAGACACAACGCGCAGCGATAAAAGTTGACCTAATTTTTCGTTTGGTCAGACCCTATGAAATATTTTTTATAGACCTAGATAAACGTTATTTCAATCGAAATCTTAACTATTCAAGCTTTATCTTTTTGACATCGATCTACTAACATGAATCCCAATTCTAATTAATTTCAAAGAATTTATCTGCTATCTATCTCATATTATACAGATTTTTGAAAGAGGAATATCTACATAATAAAGTAATAAATTAAAGGGTAATGACAGCAAATCCAAAGGAATAGAAAGTAGTTGTTATTAACGCGGAGAGAAAGTGCAGCGGAATATTATTTTCGAAATATTCTATAGAGCATCGGCCTCATTTTTAAATATTTCTCGACGACTATTAGCCAATTATTTTCCAAGGATATTTACGATGAAGTTTCGTGCAAAAAAAAAAAAGAAAAAAAAACAAAAGAAAAGCAAAAAAAAAAAAAGAAAAAAAAGAAAGAAAGAAAAATAAAAGGAGGGATTTTCGCACCTCTGACCATTAAAAATGGCCGAACTCAAACATGAGAGAAACGGTACACGAAAGGTTTCTAATGTTCCACGTGTCTCTTGCACACTACAGTAGATCCGATAGAACGTTCGACTTACACAACTCCGCGATGCGTGTCCGTGCGGTGCTTCGCGTGGCAACCCAAAAAATATGGCCCGTACTTTCGGAGTAATATGCGATGATATCAAACTTTATGACGTTGCCAATTGTTGTCGTTACTTTTTCGATTGTAGTAACCTAATTTAAAAAAAAAGCATCTGATATTGCAACGTATAAAAACGTATTTAACAAATAACTCTACAACGATAATAATCGTAAATAAGATCGTAAAGGAAGATAAATCCAAGTAAGGTAAGTCACGTAAGGAACAATTAAATCGGGTGAACTCGAAAGTACGAAAAGTTCACGGCTGATCATGACCAAGTGAAAATCAGCAGGTGAGTGTGAGTGGTGTAGGTATTATATCCTTGGGAAGTTCATCGTTCGTGGCACGAAATCAGGAACCACGCCTAAAACGCGTGCACTCGAGTTACAGAGGCGCCCTGAAACCAGCCCGGAACCTCGATATAGAATTTCGGTTACGGTTTCACCAGCAGCACTTGCACCATCCAGAGATATCGTAGAGAACGTAAACGAATCTAACGAAGGGGGAGACGCACACAAGCATTAGGTAACGCGTGCCGACAGTACCGACGAGCTATGTGCATCGAATACACGAGAGGAAGCGAAAGAAAAGAGAAAAAGAAAGAGAGTAGAAAGACTGTTAGATCTAACTGTAACTCAGGCCTACTTTCGGGTTTCTTTTCCTTCTACTTCTCGAACGATTATACGAACGAACACTTAGAAATTCATAAGCATTTCTACAGTCTCGTCTTTCATTATTTCAATATTCAATATTCAAGCATAAATATGAAAAATAAAAATTGGAATAATAAGAAATTATCTAGACGGATTTAATAAGAAAAATAACAAAGATTACAATATAATGAGTTATCTATACAGAATCGTATAGACACGAAAACATCTCGAGATACTTGCTCGACGTGTTCTCTTTCAACTATAGTATTTTCAGTACTATTATAGAGGAAGAGGGAGAGAGAGAGAGAGAGAGAGAGAGAAACAGCGGCAGCATGCTCCTTTACCTTCCCCATTCGCTCGTCCTTGAACCCTTCCCACCTACCGACCTTCTTTTTACGTTTCACCCTCCATCTTTTCGAAAAGAGAGACCACTCTCGAGGCGACAAAGCGTCGTGTTACTGCGGACTCCCTCTTTTCTTCCCCTATTTCTCTCTCTCTCTCTCTCTCTCTCTCTCTCTCTCTCTCTCTCTCTCTCTCTCTCTCTCTCTCTCTCTTTCGTAGTTCTGCATCGACCGTCTTTTCGGCGTCAAGCATCAAGCATGTCCTTTAAATATATTTCTCGAAACATTCGATCATCCACATCAAAATGGAACATGTAAAATCTGAAGTTGTTTTTTCTCGTGGAAAAAAGAAGAGAAAAAAATATTGAATATATTTCGTGCAAGGCGGTGCATCTCTATCTACGAGCTAAAATCGTCGTTGACGAAAGTAAAGTGCAGAAATAGAAAATCCGAGGCGGCCGCGGCATGACACGAAAACGGCACATTCTTATTTATTCAGTGCGACTGATAATTCAGCGTATATCTAGTCGCACATGTCAGCGTATAATATCGTTATCGTTTCCACTGATAAATCATTCCGAATTACATCGATGTAGCGACAACGACAACGACGACGACGACGACTACGACGACGAAGAGGGCGATGAAAATTTTATATAAGTTCCAATCATAAGCACATATAACAAATTATACTCACAATATTAAATCTATGAATCTCGTACATGAGAACATAATGCTACTCAGATAGCCATTAAAAAACATTCTCGCCGAATTAATGAGAATTAATAAATCTGGATTTTTTATTCGAACGTTTCGTAAAATCCGTAAGATTTATCTTTATTCACATAATTACGATAGCATACACTTTACTCTCACTTTTCATCTAATAATTAATTTTAAAGAATTCTTTTAGTAATTAAAATTAAATGTCACGGAGAATTGAAAAAAATCGAACGCAAACGAAACTTTTTCAAGCGATTAACGCGCAAGAAAAAAAAACAGAAAGAAAAAGGAAAAATGCAGTCTCATTTAAAAGATTTTCTCGATCAAATAAATAAATATAAATGCGGATAAAACGATTAGGAGAATAAATTCACAAAGCGTCGTCGCGTTTTAAAATACCACCGACCAAGCGCATTTCACCGTGGCTCGGTGCAAACTGCGGTTTCGCAAAGGCGACAGCTGCATCAGCGAGACTGCTGCATCCGTTCGGGGAAAGGCACGCACGCACGCACGCACACACACGTGAACCAACACGTGTGTTGCGAACGTATGCACGCACGGTGCAATCGGACGAGCATAGAACGCGTAGGAAAGAGTGAGATAAAGATGCAAGAACGATAGAGAGAGAGAGAGAGAGAGGGAGAGAGAGAGAGAGAGAGAGAGAGAGAGAGTATTTTCCATCTCTTTCTTTCTTAGGGACCGTAGAAATTCGCTCTCCAGATTGGATAGTCGAAAGAGAGAAGTAGGGTTCGGCCAATCGTCTTTCCTTGCACTCCCGATGCAGCGACCTCTCTTTCCCTCTCTTTCTCTACCCTTAACTCCTTAAGAAGCGGAGAAAGTCTGAGTGCAACGCGACCATCCACAGGTGGTGGTGCTACTAGTGGTGGTGGTGATGGTGGTGGTGGTGGTGGTGGTGACTCGTGTTTCTGCACAAGTAGTAAGAGCTTCTCTATGGTCAGACGAGCTCGGAAACTTCGACGCGCGGGAAAACGGTAAGGAAAAGATTCGCGAGAGGGAAAGATCGGACGATCTGCGAATTGACTCGAAGAGATACGAGGACATATAAAATCGATTGAAAAGGGCGAAAAAATAAATGTTCAACTCACCCTCGCAGAAGAGGGTGACATCGGTGAGACTCTCGCTTTTGAATAAATTCGAGAACGCCGTTGCTAGATTGCTACCGAAACTGTTCCACTTAAGACAGAATTGATGCTGGTGAGAGTCCATGATGCCACCCCTAGACCCAACCCCGTGACCTTCGCCACCCCTGTCACTGCCACCTTCGAATAGGTATTTCCCTTCTTGGTCGCGCTCGTGCCCAACTGTACGTCCAGCTGAAACAGTAACAAATTCTCGATTATCATCCGTTCTGAGAGACCAGAAATGTTCTCGATCGGACTGGAAATCGCATTTCTAATAATGATCCCTCTTACTCCGATGATTTAGGTTTTTCAATTACAAACGTAAATATCATCCAAAACGATTTAAGATCGTTCAATCTTGTATAATATTCAACAGGCATCGATATTATAAAATTACATAACACAAAATATGTACATAATTAATGATATTTCAGTAAACTGATCATAAATTATTTGAATCGAACGTTTAACGAACGACATTTTTCGCGTCGTCGATCGATACACGGATGACTGCAATCGCTATTATCTCGATGCGATCTCAATGAATTCAGCTGATAGCGAAGGTGCCTAGCGACGTGATTTGCGAAGAACGGAATAGTAAATAAAAAATTTCGAACGATACAAAAACATAGCTGGACGATAAAAAAAAAAAGAAAAAAAAGAAAAGAAACAAAAATATCGTAATATATGCTGACGTAATTGAAAAAATGGCCTAGTTCAGCAAAACATTCTTCATACGAATTATATCGTATTTTATCAGTGACATAATGCATCGATATTGTGAGCGGCAAAAATTCGAAGAAATAAAGCGAGGACGAGCGCGATCGATCGCGTAAATCGAACATTTTTATTGGCCCAACTTTTCTCTCTCTCTCTCTTTCTCTCTCTTTCGGTCTCTCACGATCTCTCTCAAGTGAGAGAAATAGTAATAAACGCAGCTATTAAAGATCAATAAATTAAATTCGTCTGCGGGGCGAGAATGTCAAGTTCGTTTCGACCAATCACGCAATAACCTTGTCACTGATCGATTGTCTACTCGCAAAGGAGTAAAGATAAAAAAGAAAAAGGAAAAGAAAAGAAAACAGAAAGAAAGAGGAAAAAAAAGAAACTTACTGAAATATATCCAAAGTGTAGGTATTATCGATCGTCGTAATCGGTTGTCAAACGTAAAAACAAAGATGCATTCGATAAGCGTCTTCTATTCATGAAATTCTCGGGATTCTTTTCAACGACGAAACTTACGCACTACTCTCTCTCTCTCTCTCTCTCTCTTTGTTTATCCTTCTCCTCTCTGTTTAAAATGTAATGTGTTTCTGAACGAAAGCAGCACCTTCCCTTTCCGTATTCTCGTAGAGGCACTATGAACGAGAAGATCAATGTACAGAGTATATCGGGTGCACGTGTCTCTCGACGCACATGATATCCTCGAATTCCACCTCAAAAAAGGCCTTCCCCCCTTTTCACTCTCACAGAAAATAAAATCGATTAACACCGTTGAATATTGAAACGATGACGACGACGACGACGACAAGGATGGAAAAAAAAAAGAGATTACGATAACGATTTCAAAGGTTCGCGCGCTTTTTCCCTGGCACAATTTCTTCCAACTAAACCGCGTCGCCGCGAGATAATTAAAAGTTAAAGAAATGATATATAAAAATGATCGACTTAGGGAAAAGGAAAAAAGGTGAGAGAAAAGTCGTAAAAGATGTTGAGAAGGAAATAGAGGAAGGATCCGGCGAATAGGAGGACGGCGTTAATGTCGCGTCGTGAAGAAAAAGAACGTGAATATGGGTCATCGGTGCTGATGCAAATGCGGTTGGACGAAATAGTATGAGTTTGATGGTTTCGGCACAGCGTTGGCAGCGGCTTTCGGTGGTGGTAGAGCGATGCGAGAGAGAGAGAGAGAGCGAGAGAGGAGGGGGGAAGGAGACGAGAGAAAGAGAGAGAAAGATTGGCGGAGGAGGAGGAGGAAGAAGAGGGAAGTGATAGGAGGAGGAACGCACGATTCGGCTTTTTAGAGAGGGTGGGGGCGACAGTGGGGCGACTGCTTAAGGCTATGACTTTGGTACGCTTTGGTGGTGTCTCCTCTCTCTCTCTCTCTCTCTCTCTCTCTTTCTCTCTCTCTCTCTCTCTCTCTCTCTCTCTCTCTCTCTCTCTATCATACCCCCTCTAATACTTCTAAGGTATCGCTGACCCCCCACCATTCGCTACTTTTCGGTCTAACACGTGCCAGGGCCGAAACGCGGATTTCTGGCGCCAGCGGCTTCCTCCGATTTCACGTTCTTTTACGATATCTCACGTATTACGTCGACGAACGAGCAGCAGCTACGTCTTTCTTTTTGACGATTAGTTTACTTCGGCCTAAGTCGATCCGTCGTCCATTGCGTCACGAGACCCGCACAGCTCGTAAATACCTTGAAAGAAGCGAAAAAAAGATACGTTGGTACAACGATCGTATCAACGAATTAACATCCATTGCAACTACAAATGACATGCTCTAATCCAGTGTTAATAACACTAGGGACATTATTTCCCGTGTAAAATATATCTACGCGTGTTACGATAAAATCGGTAAATTGTCATTTCTCACGATTACGTATTCGTATGCATCCCCTTGGCATTTTCTTTAGTCTGTTCGAGTTTCAAAAGGCTTATATAGATATCGAATCGATTAGGTATCGACATTTTTCAAAACAGGTAAGCGCAATTATGATTTTGTCGAAGTACACGTGTCATGAATTACGTAAAAGATGGATCGTCGTCATCGTATAAACCAAAAAGCTTTTTCTTCGAATGTTCCGAAATAGAGTCAGATTTAATGTAGAATGACTTGCATATGCGCTCGTAAAATGACTCGTGACAAAAATATACATGTATTATGATTTTTGGAATAATGAAAAACAAATTATATATAGAAAGTGTATAGAAAGAATAGGACCGGCTTGGTTCTTGGGTCGTTGTCTCGGACCCGGAGAGCCTTCCGGCACGGAAGTATGATGTGGGCTACCGCACGTGGGTTACGTCACGTCTATTATAAACAGCCAAAAAAAAAAAAAAAAGAAAAAAAGGAAAAAAAAAAAGAAAGAAAGAAAAAAAAGTATCGTTCATTTCTGTGCGCACGAAGGAAACGTTTCTGCTCGTCTTCGAAGGAATTTGTACGGCTCGCATCCAGCAACCTTCTTCGAGTCATTCCCAATTTTTCTTGATTTATTGAAGACAAAGTATGAGAAGTTGTGAAATTATGTAAGAACGATACGATAAATAAGCGTAACTTTTTGAGTTTCGAAGATTTCGTCATACCACGTGAAGAATAAAAATAGAATCTCCTTATGATAGAGAGAAAGAGTCAGTTTATTCGCGATGCAATACAAGCGAGATAAAATCGAACGGAACGGAGGAGAGGAATACTCGTTTGGTCTTACGAAAAAAAGAAATATATATATATATATACATATATATATATATATATATATACATAAAACGACTGATGCAGCGATATCTTCACAATGAAAAATAAAAGGCAATATTGCAGGCACGTCTCTGATCCGCTAAAATTCAACGTGCACTCGCTGGACTTGGTATTGAGTGCGTGCAAAGTAACTACACGATGGATTTCCATGGGAGGTGTATGTATGTATGTGTGTGTGTGTGTATATGTATGAGAGAGAGAGAGAGAGAGAGAGAGAGAAAAGGAGAGTCAGAGTCAGGCAGGGAAGAAAGGAAGAAGTCTGCGGGAGGGTTCGCACGGGAGACACCTTTATGGAGCTGGTCGAGTGGTGGGAATAGTGATGGAGAAAGAGTGGGGGGTAGAACCGACACGAGGAGCAGCAAAGATTGGTGGGGATACAGGAGAATCGAAAGAGTGGTGGAAATGCTGGCGGCGCCGTTGACGATGCTAGAGGGGAGGGGGGTTGTTGAGGCTCAAGGTCGCTGCGGGGCCGCACGCGCGTCCCTTGCCACGCACACGCATACGCACTCTGCACGAAGAGAAGACCACGACGCCGCCGTCGCCACCGCCGCCGCCGCCGCCACCGCCGCAACCGTTGTCGTCGTCGTCGTCGTCGTCGTCGTCGTCGTCGTCGTCGTCGTCGTCGTCGTCGTCGTCGTCGTAGTCGTCGTCATCGAAACGAAAACGACTACGGGGGTGGAGAGTGAAGAGGAAAGAAATACGAGTGAGAGAGAGAGAGAGAGAGAGAGAGAGAGAGAGAGAGAGAGAGAGAGAGAGAGAGAGTGGCACGATTTCTCTCGTGCGTATATGCGCTGCAGCGCCGAAAAGCGGACTCGCGCACGCGCGTTTTTAAGCGCGTTGCAGCGTAGGATGCGCGCGGGCGCTCATCAAACTGTGTGCGTAATAAAGAGAATACGTATTGCGTGTTTCTACAGAGGCAAAGAGAGAAAAAGAAAGAGGCAGAGAGGGAGGGGAAAAAAAGAGAGAGAGAGAGAGAGAGTCATATGCGCGCGTGAGAACGACCACGGTAATACGGTGGATCTTTTATGGCAGCGCGCGCGTATTATGTCATCGCGTAGAACGAACGAAGCGAGAAATTATCGCGGCCGGGCCACGAATTTTCGTCGTTTCGCGGAAAGATCAGAGAGCCATGCGAGATTGGGTGCGCCGCCGCGGGGACGTAAAACGTAAAATGACGACGACGATGCTTGATTGCCAAGTGGGAAAACACAAGAGAGAAAGAGGAAGCAATCGATCTTTTCTTTCTATCTCTTTCTCTCATTTTGTTTTTTCTTCCTATCGTCCAAATTCCACGTTGGTTGGCCGTCACGATTCGCGATTGCATCGTTTTTTATCTCGAAACTTCGTTCGAGGAAAGATTTATTTTGCGAATTCTATCGAAAGATTATGTCCACGAGAAATATCATTTCTTTGGTACAACGAACGAGAAAATGTGTGACTTTAATGAAAGGAATCGAAGAGGCTGCGGGCACTCTAACGACGTTACGTTCGCTTTTCCAGCAGAAAGAAAACTGCATTAATGCATTAACTAGCGTACCCGGTAACTTCGTTCTCGTGTTTTATTCTATTACGAGATCCTCCTCTTTTTCTCTCTCTCTCTCTCTCTCGCTATCTCTGTCTTTCTGTCTCCCCTGTGCGACCACGCAGATTAAACTTTAAAAAAGAAGTAAAAGTAAAGAAAAGAAAAAAACGCAATTCCGCTTTGATATAACTCGATCCA